TTTTTCGACCTCGGTGGAAGGTCGAATATATTCATTATTACTCGAGCAGGTTGATGTTGTTTCTTGCTTGATTTTATCGAAATTGTATTTCGGCCTCGGTGGAAGATCGAGTATATTCATTATCGCTCGAGCAGGTTGATTGCATTTTATTTGATTATGCTTCTATCGAATTGATTTTTCGACTCCAAAGGTAGGGAGATGAGATTCATTGTGGCTCAAGCAGGTCGATCGCATTTTATTTTGATTATGAGTCCGTCAAATTTATTTTTCGACCTCAGTAGCGGATCGAGTATGTTTTTATTGCTCGAGCAGGTTGGTGGTTGATTTATTTTTCAAAGGAATATACAATAGGCTTGAATTTTAAACTTTGAATTGAGGGGCGATAGGACGAGGTGGTATAAGGGAACTCAAACATGGTGATCGAAACACAACAGACGTAAATTATAAACTTTCAAATTCAAGACTTCGGTCAACGGTCTCGACTCTCGGTTTTGGACCTCAACGGTCTCAACTCTCGATTCTCGACCTCAGCGGTCTCTACTCTCGGATCCCGACCTCAACGGTCTCGACTCTCGGTTTTGTACCTCAACGGTCTCAACTCTTGATTCTCGACCTCAGCGGTCTCTACTCTCGGATCCCGACCTCAACGGTCTCGACTCTCGGTTCTTGACCTCAACAGTCTCGACTCTCGGTTCTCGACCTCAACGGTCTCGACTCTTGGTTTTGGACCTCAACGGTCTCAACTCTCGGTTCTCGACCTCAACGGTCTCGACTCTCGGCTCTCGACCTCAGCGGTCTCTACTCTCGGTTTTCGACTTCAACGGTCTCGACTCTAGATTCTCGACCTCAACAGTCTCTACTCTCGATTTTGGACCTCAACGGTCTCAACTCTTGATTCTTGACCTCAGAGGTCTCTACTCTTGGATCCCGACCACAACGGTCTCGATTCTCAGGTCTCGACCTCAACGGTCTCGACTCTCGGTTCTCGACCTCAACGTTCTCGACTCTCGGTTTTTTACCTCAACGGTCTCCACTCTCGATTTTCGACTTCAGCGGTCTCCACTCTCAGTTTTCGACCTCAGCGGTCTCTTGAATCTCGGTTTTCAACCTTATTGACGATTACTCGATTTTTGGTTTTCGACCTCAGCGATCTCTCGAATCTCGGCTTCCGGTGCTTGACCCCAGTGGCGGGTCACTTAACTTTCGACTTCTACAACCATTCAGTTTTCAGTGTTTGACTCCAGCGGCGAGTTGTTCTAC